GCCTCATTCTGAAGATATTTTTATACAAATTGTCTTTCAAATACAATTATCTTAAATTAGCCTGAGAATAAGTTTCAAGTAGTGAAATTATTAAACCAGGATACAAATTTAATAACTTTTGATACTTATTAACATATTCACCTCAAAGGAGTTTTATGCTTTATATTGGCACCAAAAATATATGACTGTGACGTTTCACCAGCCCGTTTATCTTTAAATTCTTTATTTTATTTTGGTGCCAACAATTGTTATAAAATGTTGGTTTGTTAGTGTTTCTTTGATCATTGGGTAGGTTGAAGTTTTTCATGTTTGTTTAATTTGAGGCCAAATTTCTTCTTAATTTCATATGTATAAGTTACTTAAAAATTTTCTTTCCCCACACAAGTGTTAAGTGGTTACCCTACCCCACTTACTGTAATACTTTCAGGTGTGGGTGCTGTGGCTTCATCTAGCAGGCCTTCATGAGGCCACCACCAGGGGTGGAAGTCACTGTAGCTGCACATCAGTGAAGTAGTGATTAATTTCCTTTTCATGTACACACAGTTACAATTCAGAGGTGATATTTTTTCCTTCACTGTATTTTTCCACCATCATTTGAGCACATACAAAACAAGAAGCCTTAAGAAGCCCGTGAAGACCTCTGCATTCCCTTTGGGAAATACATAAAACGCAGAGAGTGGTGGAGGCTGGGCCTACCCGGCTGGCCAGTGGTTCCCACACATTCCACCCAAGGCCCATGTTTCTGATTAAGGCTTGACAGTTGGCACAGGGTGCACCGAAGCACTGTGTTCCACTGTTTCCAAAAGAACGGGAAGCATTCTTTCCAGGGAATGAAATGCAGCAGCAAACCCTGTGAGAGCATGTGGGCTTTGCTTTATTCATCGCCCAGATGCCTTTCCTCTCAGGACTGTAACTTGTGTGTAAGCACCTTCAGAAATCCCATGCTTTCTAGTTCTTTAGTCTTCATCTCTGTCCTCAAGAAATGTAGTTTTGGATGAGATTTCTTTTTAAGGTGAAGAAGAAGAATGCCACCTAATTTAAAAGCTGGCTGTGCTGTCTTCATTTTCCTTGACAAGCTGAGGATGTGCCTGTTTATTTGAGGGCACAGCGTCTGAGGTTCTCAGAAGCTGCTGAAACGATTAGCCCCAGGACAGCAGTGCTCAGGTGTCTGCCAGGTCTCGGCCTCTTCAGGGAGCCATGGCTGGAGACTCTCTTCCTCCACTTGAATTTGGAACTTGAATTGCTGGTGTGTGTGAGAAAAACCATGAGGCAGGCAGGCAGACACACAGGAGGCCCACAAAGACCCAACAAGGCCAGAGTTGTTCATTTCTCGTTTTTCGGCCAAAATTCATAATTGAATTACAGTGTGGGGATATAACTTTGCTAACATTTGGAAAATGCTTTCCTACCAGGAAGGAGTGGGAGAGGATCTCCAGAGGAAATTCTTTTCTTCGTATATCATAACTTTTCACTGAATTTAAATTGCTCTCAGTCCTGTGTTAATGCTGGGAAACAGTTGAGCTGTATGGCGTGTGTGAACCCAACTTCCGTCTTCCTATGAGTTATGAGTCATAAATTGTAGGATCATGAAGAGATGTGCTGCAGCTCTGCCCCTTGGAGGGTGACAGGTCAGGAGAGCAAAGGCAGGTGGGCTCACACAGCCTTTACCTGAGGCCAGAGCAGCATGTGGGACAGGCCACACTGCAATCTGGGTGCTTCAGGAGCCATGGAACAGCAAAGCTGACCACCAGTCCTCTTCTGCTGCCTGGCAGGTTTCCTGCCCTGCAGGTTGCAGGCTGATGGGTCAGGTCTTTCGGGATCTTTTGGGGCCTGTGACAGCTGGAGAGCTGGTCGCTGGTTAAGGTTACCATGAGGGAGTCTTGCTGAGGTGCAGAACTAGGGCACTGTTTGGTGCCCTAGAAATGACATGTGTGATGGTGCCCCCACTATACTCCCTGAACTGCACCAGGAGGGGCAGCTGGCCTTGGTGAGGCCTTTTCCCACCAGGTAGCATGCCTGGCACCTGTACACCACCTGGGGATGCCTGAGGTGCTGGCTGTGCCTCTCCTCCAAGTGGGTTTGAAGTCACTTCTCTCAGTGACAATCCAACCTGCTGGTTTGGCATCTGAGGACTGGAGTCACAGAGCTTGAGTGTCACTCAGCCACCCACAGGAAGCAGGCTGTGTTGTTTGAAGGGTTCAGGGCTCAGTGACATCTTGCTGAGGCTGTGAACAGGCATGGCAGACAGGGAGCTGGATGAGAGGCAAGGCTGCACATTCCTGGTGGATTTGGGCGTGGTTCTGCATTTTCTTGTTGTCTTTGACAGCATAGCTGTGTACATGGTATATAGTCACATCTCTGGACAGTTATTGAAGCTGTGTTGGCTCAGTGAGGGGCAGTGACAGACAGACGTGGTTACTCGAAGCCGTTAACTGATAAGTGAGCTGTTTATTCAAGGATTTAGGTTTTATGACTTGAAACGTTTCTGTGAACATGAGTCATTCTTTGTTGTCTACTTGTGTTGATTTTTCTTGGTTAACTTCCTAGACTTGTAGCACAATAAATATATAAGTCTTGCAGTTGGGGTGCCCAGTAAATAGGGAGAGATTAGAATATGTGCACACTTAACTTCGTCAGTCCCTTAACATGTGGCAGGTTCTGGAGCAATGAAAAAGCCAGGCAGTTCACCCTGAAGGAGACAGGAGCTGGTGGCCAAGTTGCAGACGGCTGGACAGTTCCTGCTTATTGAAGGGCTGTGGTGAAGGTCCTTTCCTGATGGCACACTTTTAAACAAGCACCAAAACTCCAGGGTAACCCTGATAAGTGGCAGTCTCACATCACATCCTTCTCCAAGTTATGGAGACGCCTTCACAGACAGGACCTCATTGCATAACAGAGCTGTGAGGTAGGGAGACTGAGTCTCACCTTCCACCTGCAGGTGAGGAGTCACTAAAGGGTGTACACTTTCTGAACTCGGCTGCCTCTCAGCAGCTCTTCCAGAATTCAAACACGTGCCCTTTCTGTCAATCCAAGAGCATTTTTAAAACACAGCTCTATCTTTATACCATCTCCCAGTCTGTCTCATAAGCTGTCATTTCGTGTTCCTCCTCCTCCCCGACATCTCCCTCTCCAGGCCTTTGATCTCAGGACATCTTTCCTGGCCCCTCTCTGTGCTGCCCGCCCCCCCCTTAGTGGTAAAAGTGTGCAACACTAATCTTGCAGTGTTGCACACTTTTACCACTAAGAACAGAGGCACAGGTTATAGCCAAGAATGGCCTAAGTTTTTTGTCGTACCTCTCAGCTGGGATGTTGCCAGGAAGGGCAAATTTGATTATAATATCATGTAATCAAATGGATATTAAACACTTAAGTTGTTCTAGTCACAGTGGTAGGTGGGTGGATAAAGCTGTGAATAATGGGGAGTTTCAGGCCAGCTTCTCCCAGTCCTCAAGGAGGAGACAGTCTGACAAAGGTCATAGACATGTCACGCCTGCCCTGGGGAAATGGGAGCACAGTGGGCCTGGTGGGTCTGAATTAGCCTTGAGAAACACATAGTTAGGAAGGAGGGAGCGTCTAGGACAGTGGCTCTGTCTCCCAAGTGGCCTTTTGTAAACACAGCCACCCTCTTCCTGCAGCAAAACAGCCTGAGCCCCCATCTTGTTGTGCTGGGGTCCCTCCACATCCTCATCTCTCCCTTCTTCCGGTGTGACTTCCAGGAGTGCTCTCCTACCCTTGTGCCCTTAGAACCCCTGTCATCTCCTGTCATCACCCCCATCTTCCAGATTTTCAGTTTCCTCCTCCCTGTTTGCCTGCCCCTTGACCTTCAACACAGCGAGTCCCCTTATGGTGCCTCTGCCTGCTCCATCCCTTCCTCCAGTAGGCCAGCTTCTGTGGTCATCCTCCTCTCTCCTCATCTTTCCTCTTTGACCATAGCTGTGCACAGCTAACCCTAGTGTCCTGGGCCACAGCCCTCACTGCCCTGTCCCCTCCTGTCTCCTGTCTGCTCCTGTCTGCTTTATTTCTTCCACCTGACAGTGCTTCCCTGCCCCAGATTGATCTCATTGACCTACGTTCCTCTTGGAAAGCTTCTGCAACTGCCTTCAAATAGGGACAAAACTCTGGGGCCAGCTGCCCCAGACAGTGCTCCCTCTTTGCTGCCTCCTCGGGCCTCCAGCCCATCTTTCCATTAGGCCCCTGTTCTGACTGTTCCACCTGCCAATAATACCTTTTCTCTGCTGGGCTCCCCATCTGCCCAAATTGTCCTTGAAGAACCGTCTCTTCCACGAGTAGTCTCTGGTGCTCACTCCCTTGGTAGGAAGAGCCTGATTCCTCTGACCCTTGTCCACTCTACCTGCATCTCCCTGTGGTGGCTACCAATGTCTGTCTGGTAGTCATCCCACAGCAATTCTGAGGGGTCTGTTCTGTGCCACCCATGGGTCTATGGGCTCGTTTAGCCTGTCCTTTCTTTCTCCCACTGGACCAGGGCCCTAAGCACAAGTGCATGACTGCTCTAGGCAGCACAGGGCATTGTAAACAGGATGCATTCAGGAAGTTTTTAATAAATGACTTTTTGGCAACTCTCCCATCCTCTTGGGGCAGATCACCTGATCCTGACCTCAGCATTGCAGATGCCCCTCTCCTAGAGTCAGCCTGGGGGTGGGCTAGGTCACAGCAAGGTTCTCTGACTCCCCACCATTCTTCACAGTATACTGTTCTAGGTTTAGGTTTATCTTCAAAGTTTTCTAAGAAGAAACAGAATTTAAGGTTCTTTCAGGTACACCATCAAAATTCTTGTATGTCTTGACACATGCTAAACAGTCTATGGTTTAGTATAAATTAGACTCTTATCAGGCACCTGAGGACATGTAGCCAACTGTGCCCATTCTGAGACTTATCTGTAGCACCCCCATTGTCACAGGGAAGTGAGTGTCACAACAGTCAGGAGCCGGGAGGGAATGAAAGTCCCTAGTGGCTTTTAGATGACCATGTGCTTCCTGCAGGAGATGGCAGGCCGAGCACTAAAGCAGACGGGCAGCAGGAGTATTGAAGCTGCGCTGGACTACATCAGCAAGATGGGCTACCTGGACCCGAGGAAAGAGCAGATCGTGCGGGTCATCAAGCAGACCTCCCCAGGTGAGCTGCGGCCTGTGAGTGAAGATGGTTTGTGATTTAAAAACACAAAAGGGGGGGGGG